TACTTCAAAGATAGCTGTAGTGCTCTGTTATGTCATATCAGTAGTACCATCAGCATAAGGATATTAACGAAATGCCTTCCGATCCATTAATCCCGATTAAGAAACCCAAGAGTATAAGTATTTTATTTATTTCAATGCGTTCCTTAATATAAATTTGTCGTTTGAAAGAAAGCGCAATAAAAGTCTAGATCAGAACGAAGTACGATGACCGACTGCATGATTTACCCTATACAATTCTCAAAAATTCTGCAACCCAGACCGCTGAGCATATCGGGTGGTGTGAGTACGTATATGAAGATTGTATGCTCCAGAAACTTATTATGAAATGTGACTGGCTTATCCAACAAAATTCAATGGTGGGTTAGTTGGAAACCAAAGTCGTAAATCAGATCCTTCATTGAAACGACAACGCTACACCACATTTTGTATCACTCAGCTTGGTAATCTAGGGGAAAATCGACAATTGCAGCAAACATACCCTAAATGCAAATACAACAGAAATACAGGGTGTTTCAGAACTATGGGATCAAACTTGTTATTCAGTGTAACAGTCGAAAACATTTGAGTATAGGGACCCACATCCGGAAAAGTGTCACTACGGCACTACGGCCCTAAAACGCGTTAAAATTTAGAAAGACGATGAATTGCCTAAATAGGATTGCATTTAATTTTTACCTTTTGTACATGATATCATCACAACAATTATTGAAAATGTCTCGCTGCAACCTGAATACACCGTTCCTGTGGTAACATGTAAAGTCTTTGGTTTACGAAAGTCCAGTAGAAACAGAGCAAGAGTTAATTGGACAAATTACAGCAGCATTTGTAATCATTCAAAACGAGTATCAAATTTTTTGTCAAGTCCGCCAAAATCAGGTGCGACGTTTAAATCGGTGTATTCAGGTTGGAGGAAGACATTTTGAACAATTGTTGTGATGATATCATGTACAAAAGGCAAAAATTAAATGCATTAAATCCTATTTAGGCAATAGATCGTCTTTCTAAATTTTAACGCGTCTTAGAGCCGTAGTGTCGTATTGACACTTTTCCGGATATGGGTCCATATACTCAAATGTTTTCCACAGTTACACTGAATAACCCCTAGAAGTTTGATCAATTGTTCTGAAACACCCTCTCGATAAATGTAATGTAATAACAGAGCTGGAAAGTACTTTCCACCATCGGAGCTCCATTCAAGATATCTTAGGAGCTGCCCGTCTATTAACATGGTATTCTGATTTGAAGTAGTTGAGGTGCTCTTGTATTTCAGCTATGTTATCGAGACTGCTGCTGAGATTTACCCATATTCGTATTTTTATGTTTACTTTTGTCATGTTGCCTTCAATGATTATACTGTCAGTCTTCCTGTTTTCAGATATATTAAGAGCACCCTCAATAGATGTTCAATCTGTATTTCCTGGTAAGTCCTTTTTTATTTATTTTTTTTTATACTTGCAGTAACCTTAAGGTATAAACGTGCAATGCAAAATATGTGAGTAAGGCACACGGTTCTAGTTGCCCTAACAACCATTTAAATTCAGCATACAGTGACTGCACGCGTCTTAGCCATAAATAATCCCATCCACTTGCTGGTGATATCGAAATGAAACACACCACAATGCTGCAGTGGCAAGTTTCCTGGCCGCGCGTAAATCAAAGGTGGATCGCGCGTCATTAGAAGGAAGAGGGATGCATGTTTGGCCAAGTAGCGGGCCATAAATCTGTCATGTGCCCTTTAGGGCCGAGCTCCGACCTTCGGATGGCGCGGCGGCGCTGCCTGTGGGCCGACGTCTTGCAGTTTTTTCCTTGTTTTAAATATTAATGAGCCTCTAAGCGGGACCTGGGGGGCGGCAGCTATTAAAGGGCGATCATGTTTGAAGGGAGAGATTATCGCGGTTGAATGAGGAATTAGATACGTCTCGACTGGTTTAATGCGGAACGTGATGTGGGTTTGTTTCTTTGTTTTTCCGTTTGGATGTGCAGGTAAATGGTAGAATAGGCATCCATGTTGAGCATATACCGTCTAACAAAGTACGTTATCTATTCCAGTCGGCCACCAAATTGCACATTAAATCTTAGAGCTCGGTAGTACGCTAGGTGTACACTAGGTAGTTTGTGTTGATTTCAACAGCAATCACAAAGGTCCCACAGATTTTTATAATACAGTGCGAAGTTTTGTGAAAGAATTTTTATCTATTCTTGACACACTGACAAAATGCAAGCGAGGAAATGGTGGAAGGTACCGCAGAAGATGCTAGATGTGTGGGCATCGTCTGAGAAAATGTCGTATCTACTAAATCCCCTTCCTTGGTGGATGATGATTTCCTACTGTGAAGTATTCGGTACTAACAATGCAGGTCTTCGTCCGACACAATCATTCATGTTCTGATTTCCTGCAGTGTTGCCACACGAGGCAAGTTTGAGCAATAAGTAATAACTATTGATTAAAATAAAAAAATTATGAGTATATGTCGCGTATAGAGTAATTTTTGTTCGTCTCGTGATATTTTCAATAAATATATTCTAAATTACAGCCCCAAAACTACATTCTATACATAAGGTCTGACAGCAACGCTGTTTCCCATCCGCGATCTCGCCTTGCGTTCTCTCGCTGGGCCAATAACGCGTTACTCGTTTTGCCCTGTTCCAAACTATTGCCATTCTGATTTTTTCATTCATATTTGTAAAGTTTCTCACCTAGGTGATCCTGCATCATGTGTTTACCATATTATGCTACCCTTTTTAGCAGAAAAATTTGTGGACTTGGCCAGAAGACGTTTCTTTAAAACTGAGACAGCGGAAAGAATTATTATACTATTTTCCTGTTGCACTGTTCACATAACTATTTTTTTAAACTTACGTTCAGTACTTATCGGTAAATAGATACGAGTATCTCTTCACCTCAACTGTCTTGATACATTTTCTGAATGATTTTGTTTCACACCTCTTAAGCAATTTTTTACGCTTTTTATATCACTGAAGTTCGTTGTGGTTTCGAGATCGAATGTAAGAAGTATATTCCATTATCTTTTCATTATCTTCATTAGATCGTTCAGCCAGAAAACCAATAACAATATTTTGTGGCGTCTATAAGGCCACACTGACTGTAAAATCTTATTTAGTTCATATAATTATGTAAATTCAAACCGTACCTTAGTGTAAATTAGTATAGCTGTAAAGTGATTTTCATAGGAAAACTACTGACAGGAAGTAAACGGTAGAAAAAATTGATCCAGTTTGAGTGCGAAGTCATTAAGAGGAAATGTGACTATAGCTAACCAAGAAGATTAAGGAAGTATTTGGAAATTTCGACGGCTATTGCAAATTTTAAAGTAAGTTTTTTATCATTTATTTCATTATTATTAATTATTATCTGTAGCTTATCGAGAATTTTGAAGAAATGAGGCATTTTCAATGTTTTAGATTATTTGAAAAAACTCATTTTATTTCATAACAGACGATGGAGTTACTCCAAGTGATACTCGATTTGATAGATTTCTATGATGCTTACCTCCCCAATTAGATCTTTGTAGTTCAGTAGCCCGCATAAGTGAGATACTTTATTAGGTTTAGATATATTAGGACACATTGACGTTGACGATGTGCGCCAAAACAATTCAAGAAAAGTGTGAATTTTGATGCCCAAAATATTTAAAAAAAGACAGATTTTAAAAATTGTTTATAGTCATTGCAAATTTGAAAATAAAGGCATTATTAATTAATTTTCATATTTGATGTAATTATATAAAATCTTAGTTCGACAGATTATGCAAAAAATGATAAAATCTAGTTTAAATATGAAAACAATGTAAAAATAAGACTGATCAATATTAACTAACATTTTCATTTAATTTAGACATGACTTGAAGTAAATTTATTAATGTCGGTTATGAACAAAATTACAATGAGAAGCATATACGGTTGTCTCCAAAGTGAACGACAATGTCGCCTGTGTAATGTAAATATGTTTCATAAAAAATAATACAATAACCTATGAGCAAGTTAGTCATTCATGTTTAGAGCTCTAAAAATACAAATTGTATTATCGTCTGCATGAAAATACACATAATTCAATTACTATATATCAGTCAGGCATTCGTTATAATGATTAATGATTTCGTAATGGTATTTCTACCTTTATTCCTTGCAGAATAATTTATCTTATTTTAATAGAGTACAGACAGGTTCTGTCCGGGCAACTGTTTAAATAGTTTCGATGAAATTCAGGAGTGTATCTTAGGAGATGTCAAGAGGGTATCTTTTTCTTGATAAGAGTAATTTTGAAAATAGCAAGCGGTAAAACGGTCGATGATTTATTCCGACAAGCAATGTAATAAAATATAAATAGATAATTAATTATATTGTGTGGATAAACAGAAAATTTTGATAGAAGAACATTACAAGGGAAGACTTAAATTCATAACCCGTTTAGAGAACGACTTTTTTTGTTTGTTAAGTTGCTAAATTTTTATGGCGATCTAAGATTATGTAATAAAGTTTTGCGGTAAGTTGTTTTGAAGACGACTCTCAAGATGAATAGTAATCATTTTAGGAAACTTATAAGTATTCGACATTCCGACTATTTGGTCTATTATGCTTTTATTAGTATTCTGTCCTTGGCTATTAAAATTAAGGTAAGAAAACATACTTGATTGCAGACATTCGTGAAATAGTGAAATGAAATGCCACCATTTTCATATTCATTGGTTTTGAATTATGTTTTGCTTCAATCTGTTTAGAGCGTAGATTTTTGAATGAAGGTTATCCCTGACTCGTACTTTGTTAAGCACAGTAAGTATGATATGTAATACATGTTGTTATATTTTGCTACGGATTCCGTTGTTGTATAGTTGACACAACACGGTGGTGTCTGTACGTCTTCAGGGATCTACCATATTTAGACTCATCAAATTGGTATCGTAGGACAGGATATATTGAAGTAGATCGTTGTGTGATGGCTCATGATTGTAATGACTATATTTCCATTTATAACTTATTATCTAGAACTCACTTTGACCAAGATGGACCCTCTTCATCCAGGGATAGATCTGTGGAGGATTTGAACTGGATCCGCTCTTGGAATTGTTATTATTCGATCCAGATTTCTCGTTACTCGACGTCGAACTTGTGCTTGAAGCTGGCGACGACAAATTCTGCGAAGCTGTGGACGAACCCGTAGCTGGTTTTGCTGACGGAGAAGTACTAACCGATAACGGTGAAGTAAGTCCGGTCTTAGATGTTATCGTAGCGTTACTGTTATTATTTGTGGGAGTATTGGTCAGAGGAGTTGTACTCCTCGCTGGAGGTCCGCTGGTACTCAGGTCCTGCGGAGAAGCAACTCCCGTCGAGGAGGTGGACTCTGCGTATTTGCAGCTAGCCGCAGGGTTCAACATCCCAGGACTCTGCCCTCCAGGACTCGCATGGTGCATGTGAGTGGAGTTGCCTCCTGAGATCCTCTGAGGTTGTAGTTGCGTGTAATCTCCCATCGGCTGAAGAGTGTGTCCAGGAGCCGGGGCTGCATACGGATGCGGGGGGTACTGCGGACCAACCTGCGAAGGAGAATAACATGTTGGGGGGTAGCTAGTTGCTGCAGCCGCGTTAGGATTATAGTAATCACCACCGGGACTCGTCGATTGGTGTCCTTGATCCGCACCAGGCCTATTTTGTTGTCCATAGCACTGAGCCAACGAGTTGACAAACTGATACGAACTCATTTTGGAGCAGTCCGGATGAAGTCTTTACATATCGTCACTAGCACAACACAGTAACACAGTTCAGGTGCCGCATAGACAGAACATCGCGAGTGATAATGTGGAGCAGTGACAGGCCGCGACTGTATCACGTGGGGACTAATGTGATAGTGACAAAAGTCCACGGAACGCGAGTCGGTAGGTTCGCTGATCGCGACTGGCCAATACCACACGTTGATTGGAGTTAGAGCGCGTGGCTGCAGTATGGAAGGGGATAGACAGAGGCTATGTATGAGTACGAGAGAGATAGAGCGCCTAGAGGGGATAAGCTTGGAGTGTGGCACTCGGCGTGCCGCGGCTTCGGCAGCGCAGGCCCTGGGAGGAGCCTCGGCGAGGCAAAGGCGGGCCGACGAGCCACAGCCGCCGGCTTTCCGCAGCCAGAGGCTTCAAATTGATAATTTGTGAATTGTTTAAGATTTGACGCTTAGCTGACGATGCCGGTAGCACACAGGAGGACTGATGGATGTTGAGAACTGTGGACTGCAGTTACGGCAGATTGAGTTAGGTGGTTGTTTTGGGAGTTTAGTTACTGGTGGTTGTTGCTGCAAGCTGCTGACGTCTTGCTTTCTGAGACAGGTGCTTTAGGGAGTTATTTTGTGTCACGTGGAAGTGCGAGCGTTGAACATTTTTGTAAATGAAGAAACTACTTCTGTTACCTGACATTCAAGCTAATCTCATTGGTCAAGGGTGCATACGTTCATACGTTGAATCAAAGCAACATGCTTATGATCTTATTCTATTAAATAATCCATTACTAATTGTGATGAAAAATGTCAGACTTGAAAACTTGGTTTGACGAAACATGCTTTAAAAAACGTCTGAAACAAATTTAAAAAGCCTAAAGAATTATTTAATATTATGTATGGCACGGTCATTATTAAACCTAAACAATTTTTAGGAGCTTCATTTCTAATTCAACCTTTTTCTTTCAGAAAATTAGTTAATTTCCTTATTTTCATTCCCTATATTAGGATTAAAACATTTGTTGAATCTGAATCCCCATTTTTCATGTTTTACAATCTACGCTAACCTCTCAAAATATATGTGAATCAGATTATCAAGGATGGTGTTCGTTCTATAAGTTTTGGTAGCAGTCAACGTGTCCTGACCAATCATTAATAAATGTACCTAAAAAAAAGAAATGCGGAGTAACGGAAAGCGTCCTTAATCCTGCAACGAGTTAAGTTTTAACCACGGCAGCATGTCTTTTTTTGAAATAACTGAAGTAGTCTCAAAAACATCCGATAGAAAATCAAAAAATGTGAACAAAGACAAGAAAAACAATCAAAGCAAATGCAAACTACTAAATATGAGGGAAAAAAGCTAAGTTATATGTGTATATCAAGTCAAATCCAAACATGATTTTACAAGTCTTTGAAATGATTAACAAGAAAACAACTGCAAAATAGATACCTACCCAGATGCTTTCAATCTACTTTTTTGAGTAGCAACGCATTCTCGCGTAAGGACTCACTTAACTTGATAGTTAACAGCATCTGCGTATAATTCTTTTCACACATTTACATAACATGCTTTGACCAATCAAGAATCTGCATCCCCACCATCATTAGAAAAGTGCGTGAACTAATACGAAATTTGATATGCATGATTATCATATTATAATATAAAACATACCATCAAGTGGTTAAAGTCAAGCTATAAAAATGTTAATTTTTTCATTACAGTCTTTCACTATACTACGCACTATTAATGCTACTAATTTTTGCTGATATAATTACCTATAACAATTAGCCTCAACGACTTAATTAGGGGTGCATAGTGTAGAGGATTTTCGCATTTATCAGTCCAACATGCTCATTCTGCATAATGGATATTTTAATGGTGATCCTATTGTAGTGGTCGGATATTACTTAGGTACCCTTGCTGGATGATAATTGAGTTGGCTTAAACAGATTATGTGCTAACATGCTTTGTGGTTACTTAGCGGAGCTTTGCGATATCATTTAAATACGATTTAGTTAGGATCTAGTCTGAAGGTTTTGGACTGTAAAATCCACCCCAGTGAAGGTTCATCCTCATACTCACCAAATGTTTATTCTTCTAACTCTGATATTTCAGAAACTCAAAATATAGGGTGTTGTTTCAGTTTCAACTTTCCTTTCTACAGCGTTTTGGTAAAATATGCAAATTCCTCTAGGTACACGTATACTTAGGTCAAAGGATAACCGAGTTATTAGGTTCCGAAAAACTCTGTAACATCAATGGATGTTTCTCCAGCAAATGAAATGATATGAAAGATACCACCTACGTCGGTATTGAATCCTGGCACTGATAGTTTAGGTTACCTCAAAGCTGGTGCTTGACCTTTCCTTCCCGTACTGAGTAGATTGATTTATTTCTTAGAAAGGCGGTTTGTAGGAACGTGGAGGTGGGCACAGTGGAAGACCTAGGCAGCTCCGAAAGTTACAAGTTGGGAATGGCAAATTGGTGAGTTTAAATCGACAACTTCGAACAGTATTACAATCAACATGTGACAGTTCGGTACTATATGTTATTATCAAATTCCAGCAAGTGATTTTCTTTGTTTTATTTTACCTTTTGCGTTGCTATCTTACTACACATTAGCTTTGCTATTCCAGACCTAGTCGGTTCCAAGAAGAAAAGTTTCAACCTACTCATTAACCTGTATTGTATAACTGTTAGGTATACACAAAGGTATACATTCCAATAATGCAATAATGGTACAATAAACACGTTAAACCCCAAAAAGATAAACTTGTGCAGGCCATTAACCGATAGTTGGAGACAATTAAACCTTGGAACAGTATAACTATTATACAATGAAATTTACACATTTTAGAAGATAAAAGAATTATTAAGTACCACTGATAAGATATTAGAAGCTGGTAGTGACGTTATAATGTAGTAACATTAGTATAAACACTAAAGGAATGTAAAAAACAGAATATAAAAAAGGAAACAGATTAAAATTATTCAATCAAAACTAGGTATCATGTCGATGAAATCTGAGTTGTACGCATTCGGCTATATTTAAGATGATATAGTGAGATTCAATTATTCATTATTTGTAATGACTATAATTTGTTTTTTAATAAAAATGTCGGTAAGAACAATTTTTGGCGACAATGTAATTCATGGATAACTGCCCCGGATATTTGATTGAATCATTATTTAATTTGTTCTTGAATAGGCTCAGGGACGTTATTTATTTACATTCTAGAGGAATATTGCTGAACAGATGAGGTCCAAGAAATGTCCATAAGTCTCAATGTCTCAATAGTAACGATTTTTCTAGTTTCTGTACAATTCAGTACGATGCCTCTAATACTTATGATTGATTTTTTTTTCAGGAACCCTGTTTTTGTACTGAAGTACGACCATTTTGTAGGCATATAGGTGTCTAGTAGCTAACATTTTTATTTGAATAAAGAACTCATTGGAAGGGTAAAAGCTGGGCTCTTTGCACATGGCCTTGAGAAAAGGTTTTTATCTTACTACAATGTTATTAAAAAAGTCCATTGCTGCGCCTAAGATGCCATATACGAGATGCGAATGTACAAAAGCTAGATGAAGGCTATTCAGAGATGCTTCTGGAATAGAAATGTTAATGACTTACTAAATCTAAATCACTTAAGAATATTATATAAATTCCTAAATATGTTATATTATATGCATTTGCACAGTGACTGTGTTACGAGTATTCATAGTGATAGTCAGCCAACTGTAAATTACACTTATAAGACTCAAATGGGCTTAGTTCATCGTCAATAACTTGGCATTAAAATATGCCGCAATCTTTTTTAAACAATTTTGGCATTATAGTTTTTAATACAACCTAGCTTGACGCCTTATATAATAATAATAATATTTATTTGCTTTCAATCACAATTACAAATGTTTCAGGTGAAATAAAAATAACATGCAAATAAATATGAAATACCCACGGAAGGCAAAGCATGTGCGAGGTGAGATGTGTATCCAATATTCAGTCATATCAGTATAATTGTCATCATAGGTACAATAGTCATAATCGGGTGTTGACGAATCTGAGAATGGCATATTAGGGAGGTGGAAAGTCCATTTGCTTCGGCTGTATGCTTGGATACGTTTAACCTTATTTATTAGAAAAAATTAACAGAATTCCTTGACAGTTTGAAAATACAAAGGTTTTAAATGCTTTTATATAATCTTTGAAAGAATTAGCTGATGTATGTGTGGAAGCGAGATATTTCCTTTATCCACTTTTATTGTTTTTTTAAGCTTAATAGAATTACTTATACTGTTTTAAGATAATGGAATAGACAAATTATTGACATTAGGCTCTCACTTTACGGCGGGTATGATAGTCATGCTCAGTTTGGCGTAGCTTATATTTTAGTTGGTGCAGCTTCATGATATACATATATACATGACAGAGCCGTCTGAAAAGCCCAGTATTTCACCATTGTTTTCGTTCAAGAACAAATCGTTTACGTAAATATTAAAAAGATCGGCACCAGTACAGAACCTTGAGGCATACCGAATTCAACTTCTCTCTCTCAGATTTTGTCGCAATCCTGGTTTGCATTGCTTCACGAACAGGGTGTAGGTACTTCCATTAGGGGACGGAAATTCTGAAGACTCCCACATTGTATGCAAAATGCACTCATAAATCACAACGGAATGTTACACTAATTTTGCGAACATTTCTTTCTATCTGAAAGAGTTCAAGGAATCTTTTCCAGGAAGACCCGCTTTACCTCTTTTGCATGAAGTTAAGGTTACGGTTCGAAATGCAGGGTATGACCGATTTTAGAAGACCGTATTCGAAATGGTTCGAATGCTGAATACGTCTAATGTTAATAGTATTATGTAATGTAGGTCTATAACCTATTTTAAAAAAGATATTAGAAGTAAATAGTATAATTTGTACGTAATTGTACGTTGCGACATCAACTTATTAAGTTATTTCTAACTGATAATTGCCACATTATTATTTGATT